CATCGGTGTACAAATTTTATTTTATTTTTTCAAACTCTGCATGGGTTGACAAACATGACCACGGCCATCTTTCTCACACAAACACAAGTGTGGCCATCTTTTCCAAAATCACAGAACTAATTAAGTTCATGAACTATGGCACCACTGTACTTGGGACACTCTTATCCAGTCCCCAAACACTGAACATCCAGTTCAGATGGCTCCTCTCTGAAGCCTTAACTAGTTCCTTCCCACATCATCCTAGACCATAAATTCTCATCTATTTTTCTAAAACTCTCATTGGTCTTGCCTCCCATGTCCTTAGGTACACTCTAAAAACAAATATCACTTTTGGCCTGTACGGACAGGTATGCGTGGTACATGTCTGTGTCTCTAGGTGCCTACGACATGGCGCTTCAGCTTTAGAAGAGGGTGGATAATGATGCTTGCCCCAACAACTTCACAGAGTTTAGGGACAGCGTGGTGCCCCACCAAGTGAGGCAGCAGATGGGAGACTCCTTGTCCAAGTTGAGATGAGACAGCTACTGTCCCCACCGCAAGGAAGCCCCGGCTACTGAGGGGAGACATGATCGCAGCCTGAAGAGGCATTCAGCAGCAGCCACACTGCCCAGCCTCCTGCCGGCCTCCCCTTGACGGCCTCACCCTGGGCACTCCCGGCTCCATCCAGAGCGCAGGCTCACGCTCCTTCTCCACTCTTGGAGGTGTGGGGAGGCAGGGCCCTCTCATCCTGACTGCAGCAGTGCTGGACAGGTGCTGTCTCCCGCCTCCTCACCCTCTAAGTCTAATGCTGAGAACCGAGCTAGACAGAGGGACAGGAATGCTCAGGCCCCAAGCACAGTGCCTGGAGCATGATGCCGCTAAGCTGGTTCTGATCCTTCCTGATGCCTGTGAGATGTATGTTACCATTCACACTGCATAAGGAAACTGGCGGTCAGAAGGCTAGGTGGCCTGATCTCAGCTTTTCTAGCTTGGTCTCTGGGCTATTAAGTAGTGGGGCCTGGGCTCTGCTGAGCCAACTTGGTTCCAGGGCCTCTGGTCCACAGCGAATGGGAGCAGATGGAATGCGCACCTTCTTCAAGATGCACCTCTCTCTGGTTCATGCTTTTCCCGATGTCTCCCAGATCCTTCTTTCAAGGCAGAAGCTAAGTCAGACCTAAGGCAGGCAGACGCAGGTCCTCCAGCCTAAGGCCTTCTATTCCCCTGAGGAACAACCAGACCTTGGAAGAAGTAGGTGGATTTTCACTGAACCCCACCTTGAGACCAGTAGATCAGAGCTTTGTTGAGTCAGGCACCTTTGGGGGGACAACAAAGTCCCTGAAGTGCAGGAACAGGAGATCAGCTGAGTAGGCCTCACCACTGAGTACTCCTCACCCTAGCAGCCCTGCCCTGCACTCATACCTTTGAGTCCACGTTGCCCTTAAGAAGGCCATGCCCACCTGGAGACAAGCCCAGACCTCCCTGTGGGGACTTGGGCAGCTTAGCTCGGTAGCCCCAGAGCCCTGGAGCCACCACTCCAGCCCAGCTCTGGTCCCTCTCTGAGGGCCCATAGGAGGACTCAGGCCTCCTCAGCCCCTGAAGAAGCATCTGTTCACATCAACTACCCCCACACAGCAAAACCACAGGAAGTGGAAAGTGAGAAGGGGTGGCCAGGGGTCCCACTGGTACATGAAAAGAGGGTTTCAAAGCTGCTGCTAGAGAAAGAAATAGCAAAGGGAAAGAAATAGCAGAGGGGGAGCTAGGCTGCCAGGGCCCAAGGACACAGAGCTACTGTACTCCAAAGAGGTGGTCTGTGTTGGAGGGAGCAGCCGCCAGGCCAATTTATTGTTTATTTTATTACTCTGGGTTGCTGGGCTATAGGCCAGGGAAGTTATTTCAGGCAGAGATCATAGCACATTAATTAGTTATTAGAAGAATGTCCTTTCTGTGTGTTCTTCCTGAGACAAGAAATAGACCCCGTGGCCAGCACACAGAATCGACAGCGGATGGGCACTCAGGAGGCAAAAGGCCAGGAAAGGGGGCGATGAAGAGTCAGGGCTTTGTTTCCCAGGAAAAGGCCCCTCACAGGTTCAGGCCTGAGACCTATGAGTGCATAAGGGCACAGAGAGAAAGGCGGAGGGAAGGCAGGCTTGCGAGGGGCAGGCGTGCGTGTGCGGAGCTGGCCCAGGGATCTTCATTTACTTTGGGGACAGATATTGCACCCATTTACCCTCTTAGAAGGTAAACATGAAATGTAATTCTTAATGTAAAAAAGTAAAAAGAGAGTTTAAAAACAAATCATGCTGTACAACTTTTGGCCTAATAATTTCATGTCTGGGAATTGCTGGAAGAAGGCTAATATATGTCCAATCTGTGGGAAAAACGGATGGACAGAGATGTGCAGGGTGACTTTACAATAATAAAATTGGTTGAAACATTGCATATGTAATGAAATATTATGTAACTGTCAAAAATAATGATCACATGGGAAATACTCATAAGCAAAAAGAAAATGTATGTAAAATTACAGACGTAGCATTTTAACTATGATATAAAATAGCTAAAATACTGGAAAGATAAATACATTTTCTCTTGAACTATGGTATTATAGATGAATTTGTTCTTTGAATTAATTTTTTGCATTTTCCAACTTTAAAAAAACAGAAACCATTTGCTTTAATGAGAAGGAAGAAAACTATGTAATTTGGTTTCGGAGCGTCTCTTGGGCTCTAGCCCCTCCTGCCCTACTGTCGACTCCCTGCAAGGGAAACAGCTTCTGATGCAGAAGCCAAATTCAGTTACTGGCAAGAATGGAGAGGGGAAACTCGAACTTGGAGGATAAGAAAGAGGAGGGGTGTGCCTCTCACAGCCCGCTGTGTGCCTCAGATAAGGAATAATCTGGGGCACCTCACTGCCACTCTCTTAGACTCACTTAACAGCCAACAATGACTCAGGCAAAAGCAAGAGGGTGTCTCAGACAAAAGCACTTAAGCCCATCTGTTGTTTGGGGGCCCTGCCCTGAAGGATGCTTGCCTTCCCTCATCTTCCCTCCCATTCAGAGAAACACCTACTAGAAATTTCCTGTAGCCGAGACCCGAGAGATTCTAAGGCAAAGATGAGGCTTTGTAAGCGCTTGTGCCCAAGGAAGAGGGGGCTCAGAATAAAACAATGTATTAAAAGTGACAGCCAAGCTATGTCCAGAGAGCCAGAGATGTGTCATGGAGCAGCCCATAAACGGCCAGTGCTTCCTGGGAGGCACAAAAATGGACCACGTGGAACAGAGAAAAGATCTCAAAGGTAAAGGAAACCCGGTGCCCAGGTTTCTCTGAAATGCCTTTGGCAGCAATGGACAGTTCATCAAATGAAAAGCAGAGGTTGGATCAGGGATCCTCCAAGGATGGCTCTTGGATCCTCAACATTACATATAAATTTGGGATAAACGTGCATAAGGCAACAGTATTAGATTTTCAAATCAGGCGCCAATCTTCTCAGAAGAAGCAATGGATTAGATCAATATCAAGGGGCCCTGGTAGTTCTAATATAACATAAAATACCCAAAAGTCAACAACTTCAGAAGTCATAGCACCTGCCACAGGCAAGCCTGACCTAGTGTTCTGTTCAGACATGACATGCATGACATGCTAGCACAGTGCACATCCTGCTTCCGGAAGGCTCATGCTATAGGCTTAGAGAAAATTAGTACCTAGAAAATGGGTAACCACACGGTTAACTTTGCTGATGTCCTCACTAAGCAAAGCATACAGCTTTGCATGTGGCAGGTCATCAGACAGCCAGTGAATGGAAACTAGAGGACCCACGCTTTCAAATCCTCCAGAGGAGATGACAAAGCTTGACTGGGGTGGGGTCGGAGGTGGCATCAAAAGCTATTCTCACACCGTAGGAGCATGCCTTTCAACAGAGGCTCACAAGCTCTCTCAATAGTTTGCAGTGGCTATAAGTAAGCCCAGGAGAAGCAGCCTGGTTCTGCAGGTTGCATTCAGAGAAGACCCTGTTCTCCTAAGATAGAGAGGATGACATCACTTCGGTGGACACAGAGGGACCTCTCTAATTTTTTAACCATTTTTTCATCATATTCTATAGGGACTTAAAGTTCAACATATCAAGACTTTCTGAACCCAGGCTGGACAAGATGACTTCTTGAGGCTCCTTCTAGCCTTAGGATTCTATCATCCAAGGGAACGGATGACTCACCCTCAAAGTTACAGGCATGCAGCCAACCATCTCCTCGCTTGTATCTAGGTCTTGCCGCTGAGCTCTGCAGCCACTCATTATGTGGCTTTGAACAATTCATTTAACCTCTCTGTTCCCTCAGTTATTTCACCTGCAAAGTGAAATGGTTGCATGAGACAACGCCAATAACTCTTCCACCTCTGGAAGTCTTTAATGTTATTATAGAGCCATTAAGATGAAAGAAGAAAAACAGACTAAAAGCATTCTGCTTGTGGACTCAGCATTTATGTGAATCTTGAAGAGCTATAGCTAAGACCTATATCTTTGCCACAGAGAGGCAAAATGATTATACAAAAGGATGAGTGGTATCACCAGCCCGCCTCCACCCTGGTCCTGCAGCCATAAGAACCACTCAGCTGCCACCAAAGGCCCCCCTGTGAGTGCTGAGCCCTTCAAAAAGAAAGAGAAGTGGTCTTGTTGGTGAAGGGTAGGTACCTAAAATATGAGTGTGTAAGACACCCCACCAGCGTAAGGGCCTCCTGAGAGAGACCAGAAGCCCTCTCACTTGTAGCCCCTAGACCTCAATTTCATCATCCAGAAAATGGGGAGAACAGGTGTGGTTCTGACTTTGAACATTTCGAACTGCCCAGTTTATTAAGAGCTAACTACGGTGGACAGGTACTCCATAGGCGGGGAAAGGGGTCAGCAGGGCAATTGTGGGTTCAGCTTTTGAGGCGGAGTAAAAGGATTTCTCCAGAGCCCTGAACTTAAGATTTCTCGTTTGTCTCAGGAGGGAGTGGAGCTTGGGAGCAGTCAATGGACACATCGCTCACCTGATGAAGGTGGTCTTCCCGGTGGAGTACTGGCCCACCAGCAGGACCATGGGCTTGTTGTCGAAATCAGCATCCTCCAGGGCAGGCGAGTGGAACTCGTGGAAGCGGTAATGCTCTTCCAGGGGCAGCAGTTTGGTTTTATAGAGTTTCTTGAGCCCGTCGCTTACCGTCTGGAAGACCTCCGGGTCCTTCCTCCGGCGGTCGTCGGTACCCAGCCAGCTGAACATCGCGGCAGCTGCAGTGGGAAAGGCCTCTCGGGGAAGTGGAGCCGCCGCTTCGCCTCACCGGAGCGCAAGGCTCAGCCGCACCATGGCCGGGGCGCTGGCTCGCCTGCTGGGACCCAGCCCAGCCCAGCCTGTGCTTCACCCCGCAGCTGTGCCGGCCTGGCAGAGGAAGACGATCTGGACCGCGAGGAGAGGCTTGCAACCTCGGCAATTAAAACCAAACTTGCAATTAAATTGCTCGATGCCAGGTCGGCGCGGGGTCCCGGTCTTCCCCGGCCCTTGCCCGCTGTGCTCCTGCGCAGTGGGATCCGCGCTTGCCAGAGGCGTTCAGGGTAGGTGGCGACTCCGCATCCAAAGCGGCATCCCGCAGCCCCAGGCACGCGTTTAAATGCCAGCGGTGCAGGAAGCCGGCGCGTGTAGGAAGTCCCCGAGTACTGGCAAGGCCGGGCCGGCCCCACGGTGCGGGCGACGTGAAGCCGGGAAGGGCGCCGCCATGTCTGTGGGCAAGCGCTCGCGGGCCAGACAGCCAGGGGCTGCGGACCGAGTCCTGTGGGAAAGCGCTGACATTTCCGTGCCTGCCTCTGGGGGTTTGATTTGGGAACAGCGCCCTCTCAGGGACGGCTTCGAAGACATCAACTGACCTACTGTGGTACTGATCGCTGTCCCTGTCCCTGCTTTTCCTGTAGTTACTGAGATCAGTTCCCTGGAAACGCAGGTATCCTAGTATTTGGGAGTATTTTTTCTTGGGGGTTGAAAAAAGGATGCAAAATGAGGTTACATAAAATAATTAAAACTGTCACTAGCCCAACTTTTTGGTAGGCTTGCTGTGAGTTCAAAACTGTTCCCATTAGTTCCTATAAAACCAAACAAAAGAAACAAACCCCACGTAAACTGCGCAGTATTTTGGGATAACCCGATCTGGGCGACAAAGGGGAGCACTATCAGGCTCTTCCTTCATAAAACTGTAGTCAAGGCAGGCTTTAGAGAAGAGACAGGAGCAGAGGGAAGCTCCAAGGGATGATTCTCTCCTCTTGGGCTGAGAATTTGATTCTGCTTCACAGGAAACTTGCTGTGAACCAGATCTTCAATGAGGAACGCACAGAGGAGAAAAGAACCCATCCTAGGCTAAGTGGAGAGTGTTGGCAAAGGCCTGGTGATGTGGAAGATCCTGGTGTGTCCAAGTCTGGCATCGCCGGAGTTCAGGGTCGGGGAACATGGAGGGGGTGGACAAGGCCAGGCATGGAGGCTGTGCATGCCAACGCAGGACCAATCAAGGGAAGAGGAATCCACAATAGTCTCAGTAATGACAGTTGATGCTCACCATGTGCAGGCACCTGCTCTAAGACCTCTGAGAGTGCTGCTTTGTCTAGTCCTCACGGCAGCTCTGTGAGGCAGTATATCCTCTTCAGCAGCACGTCAAGGAGAGTTGGGGGGAGCAGTGCTCAGCAATTGGCAAAAAGGGATGCATTCCTTGTAGAAAGTTTGAACACTATAATAAACCAACTCAAAGCCTGTCTGCTTTGCATTGGCACCATGCTAACCACCCCTCGCCAAGGAAGAGGCTCCACTGCCCTCCCCCAAGCCTACAAAGAGTCACATAGCTGCTGGACCCAGTGGGACTGCTGAGGCTGGGGCAGGGCCGGGAGGAACTGGAGGAGCAGGGCGCCCAGGCTCAGAGCCCAGTTAGGAACCTGCAGGGACCACAGCAATGCAAATGGAGAAGAGGTTATATTTAAGGGATTCCAAGGCAGAGCATTGATTCACAAAGAAGGAGGAAATAAGAATGAGGCAGAGCTGGGGATGGTTATAAATTTTCTACTGCAGGAGTCAAGAGATTGGGAGAAATGCTTCCTTCCGCTAACCGGAGAAGTCAGAGAGAGCACAGATTTAGCAGGCCCATGACACATTCAGACTGAGATGTACAATGCCTGAGGGATTCAGGCTGCTGGGATTTCCCTGGGGCTCTTCAGAGGTGAGTCCTTAATGGATTTTCCTTAGTTACAGCTCAGGTCTCCTGACTTCATCCTTGAACCGCAAAGATGATCATATTTTGGGGCTCTCTGCACCCCTTGCTGACAAGGCACTCTGATTCTGATTGCACCCTTGGAGTTCACACCAGCACCAGCACATGAGGCTGAGAGGCGACCTTCCAGATCTTTGACTCACAGGATCTGGGAACTGAATAATCAAGACACTAGCCTTTCAGTTCCAGGGAAACCCGAGGTCTTGTGTTGTGGCAGGTGTGGCTAGGGTGGCAGCAGGGAACCGAGGGAGGCTCCAGCATAGAAATGTTTCAATATATAAAAAACTCAGAATAAATATTCTGTTTTGTACCACTGAATTCTGGCGCTAAACATCTGACTTAACCAGGGCTTATTGATACATTCACTCATTCTGAACACTCAATAGTTAGAAAATGGTCTTCCTTAAAAGGGACTAAGTGGTATCCTTAAAGAACAAAGAAAGGAGAAAGGGAATTAGGGATAGGTGCATGGACAGCTTTAACTGTATTTGCAGTGCTTTGTTTCTTAAATTAGATAATGGGCAATTGACTACTCATTTATTATTCTCCTTGACCTCTCCTTTTTAATTCTGGTCTTTAGATGCACTAAATTGAGTTTGTTTCATAATCATGGTTCAAGACAAACTATGCCTGGTTTTTTGCTTATATATATTTTTCTTTTTTAAAAATAACATCATGAGGCCTTCATGAACTCACCATCCAGTCTGAGAACTAGAAAAATTAGCAAAAACTTGCATTATGAACACCTGTGGGTTCCTCCTGTGTCATGTCCCCTGTCCCTCTCCACTCGTGGAGTGACATCCTATCCTGAATTTAATGAATTATATTATGATTGTTTTAAACTAATATTCTCATATATATGTGGTGGTCTTGTGTTTGGGGACTTTATGAAAAGCATGTCCCGCTACCCGCAGCTCCTGGAAACTTGTCTTCTCTTACATCCATGGTTTTGCCCGAAGCCTCTATTTCCTACTCTCTCTCCCTCATTCTGGCCTCCGTCCTGGAAGGGCTTCTCCTGACCTACGACAGCAGGCCCCACATGCTGTCATAGGACTGCACAGTGACTGGGAGAGAGCAGCTTTGCTCTCAAATCTCTGCTCCCTGGTCTCTGCAATAGAAATGGTGACAGCATTTTCAGTATTAAAAGACACAGTATATGCATCATGCTTGACACCCTGCCAAGTCCACTGGAAGTGCTGCATATATTGTTAGCTCTTAAATTATAACCACTGTTACTTTTACTCACTACATGGTGCTTCCCTGAATCCTACTTAAAAAGCCATTTAATAGGCTGCTGCATAAGGTTAATACTTCATAACATCAGTGTTTAATAAGGTACATAATAAGCTTATACTTCATAAGTTAGTGAGTAGTTGCCTCCAATCAGGAGGACTCATTGGCTCAGAGGAATATAATTGTTTATAATATTAGAATCTATATCAGCTAGCATTTATCACCACCCTTTGAGAATGGCATCTTGAAACAGAGGTCTTCCTTCTCTCTCCTTTCTCACCAAGACCACAAAGATCCAGGTCAAAGGAAACAGAGGAGATGCAGACCATAGTGAGAACCTGGGATGAAAGCTTGAGCCACGAGGGGAGGCAAGAGCTGCTGGGAGAGGCAAGAGGAGTCAGAAAACACCAATCAGGCGGGGCCAGCCATCCAGTCAGTGCAATTCAAGGTCCCTCTCTACCTGGCAAATCCTGCAGCCTAGAGTCTCTCACAGCCTCCCATGCATGCGTGCGGGGCTCCTGCAGTGGGGCCTCCTCCTGATACCAGGGTCCTGGCCCTTGTTCCAGGGCTCCAGTCTTCCCTCCCACCCCTTGGCCAGGGCATACCCACTGGCCCATGTCCTCCATCCTGAGAAGCAGAGGTAGCAGCTTTCTCCCAAGAGTAAGCTACTCCCTTCTTTTCACTCCCAAGCTGTTTCCCAAGAACCTTGTTACTGCATTTATTGCCCTTTGCTATCATTATGTGTTGAAATCATTTGCCTCCCACCTGGATAATGTGCATCTTCAGCCCACTACTGTGAGTCATTCATTTTATTGATCTCATTTGGGGGAAAAGTGTGGCAGTCCAGTCAGTTCCTACTGGTGAGAATCAGGCTGAGTTACGATTGCCTCAGTCCATTTTGTGCTGCTACACTAGAGTACCTGAAACTGGGTAATTTATAACGAACAGGAATTTATTGGCTTGTGCTTGGGGAGGCTGGTGAGCTCCAGATGGAAGGGCAGCCGGCTGGCAAGGACTTCTTGTTGCATTAGCTATGGCACAAGGTCGAGGAGAGTAAGGGAGAAAAGATTAAATTGAATCTAAGCCCTTTTATAATCAGCATTAATCCATCATGAAGGTGGAGCCCCATGGCCTGAACACTTCTCAGTATGCCCTGCCGCCCTCCCAGTTGCATGGGGATTAAATTTCCAACTAGGTTTTTTTGTAGCACATATTCCAGGCATATCAGTCATTTAATCTCTTTTAATGAAAATGCCTTTCCAGGTCAAAGGAAGCCTAGCAATGAATAATACTTCACCTTGTGGTTATGGGGGTAAACTAAGATGTGTTTGGTCAAGGACCTATTAAATTTTCGTACATCTATAGTAAGTTTTCAATAAATTTATTTTCTCCTGAAATGAATGAATTCTGCATATACACAAGGGAAACGAAATTTGGAATGCAAATTTATAAAAGGAAATGGTGCTCAGGAAGTCCATAAACTGGAAAGAAGGAAGAGAAAGAGGACTTTTGTTGTCCAGGAGAGATGTTCCCCACCAATACCATCACTACTACATCTTCTTCTTCCTCTTCCTCTTCCTCTTCCTCTTCCTCTTCTTCTTCTTCCTCCTCCTGCTCCTGCTCCTCCTCCTCCTCCTCCTCCTCCTCCTCTTCTTCCTCTTCCTCTTCCTCTTCTTCCTCTTCTTCTTCCAGGGCCCACGACACCACGTCCAGTCTCAATTAGTCAATTGGCGTCTCAGCGCGCCCCTAGGGCGGGGCATAGCAGGCCCAGGGATTGAACCCCCGGCCCCCGAGCCTGCTTGCAGGGCGCTTTAATCTGCTGAGCTATTTGGCCAGCCTTTTACTGGTTCTTTCTTGATGTGCTCGTTTTTCTTTCCAACAACCTTCTGCTCCCAAAGGCAGGACATTTGTAGCCTGAAAGACACACGAGCTCTGCTTAGAAAACCCCTCTTTCTCCTTCTCCTTCTCCTCCTCGCCTTCATCTTCCTCTCCGCTTTCCGTAGGGGCGGTGTTGTCTGGGGGACAATGACGCAGCGCGGTCCTAGAAGAGAAGAGAGGAAGGTTTGCCAGCAAGGCCCCGGGCCGGCCCTGCACGAGGAAGGCTGTGCAGGCCTGAGCACTATCACCAACCCTCTTTCCTCCTCCACCCACGGAAGGTACGAGGCGTTTACCAAAA